GAAAGGAAACAGTGGCTACCTTACAAAGCCAGAGGTCTGCAGGTGACAGAAAGCTTTCAGCAGGTGCTCTCAGGTTACTCTACAGAAGTGGATCATTTGTATTAAATAGAAGAAAAAGACAGTCCTCATGATAAGGAGCATCCCTTCTCTTGCACAGAGGATAAAAACAAATATAGCCATACATGAACGTAAACTATTTATTCTTATGCACTTTCTATTAATTGAAAACACACTTGAAACTGGGACTTCTTCATTTAAACCGCTTTGCACTTAAATGATACAGATTTTCCAAACATTTTCTACAACATCTTAACATCTTTTACTTTGCAGTTCTTCTAAAAATTTAATTGGGAGGGTAAAGGAATCACACTGACTTGCCACTGGAGATCATGTAAACCCGTAAGATTTAAGTCAGTTAAAGAAGACAAAACCAGACATTTCTTCTCTGCAGGTCAGAAGCACTATCTTGAAAAATGGCAAAATCTACTTCCTCACTTTTTGCAAATACATGAATGTGTATATGTTTACCTTCCCCTCTTTGTCACAAAATCATAGAATCATGTTTGAAAAAACCTCCAGGATAACTGAATTCAACCTTTGACCAAACACCAAGATGCCAGCTAAACCATGGCATAAAGTGAATGTTTTCAGGGATGGGAGCCCACCACTCCCCTGAGCAGCCCGTTCCAGTGCTTAACCATCCTTTCAATGAAACATTCTTCCTTATGTCCAACCCAAATCTCCCTGGCAGAGCTGGAGCCTATAAGCTCTTGTTCTGTCCCTTGATGCCTGGGAGAAGAGGCTGACCCCCTCCTGGCCACGACCTCCTGTCAGGCAGCTGTAGAGACCAATGAGGTCCCCTCTGAGCCTCCTTTTCTTTAGGCTAAACACCCTCAGCACCCCCAGCTGCTCCTGACCCACTCTCCAAACTTCCCACCAGCTCCTTGCCCTTCTTTGGACTCACTCCAGCACCTCAATGTCTTTCCTGTAGTGAGGAGACCAGAACTGGACAAAGCACTCAAGGTTGGCCTCATCTTTGCCTGGCACAGGGGGACAATCCCTGCCCTGGTCCTGCTGGCCACATATGGGCCAGGGAGCCATCAGCCTTCCTGGTCACCCAGACACATGCTGGCTCAGGTTCAGTGGCTGAGGACCAGCACCCCCATCTCTTTCTCCCCAGCTTTCGGTACTTGTGTAGTCCTAATTTTTAAATACTTTCCCTCTCATTTCAAAACATCTTGAGTTTGCCTTTCTGTTCAATCCCAGCACAAACAACCTCATCGGGGTATGTAGCTTCTTGTTCCTGCACTCCTCACTATCCACATTGTTAATCCATCACCATTTTACTCTCAAAGTACAAGGATTCAGTTAGATGGAGGACTGTATACTAAAAGCACACAAATGTTAAGCTCATAGGTCTTGATCCCTGTGCCTGGATCCAGCCTGCTCCCAGAGCAGCTCAGATCCCTGCTTGCAATTAAATTCTGTACACTGTATCTAGAATTTTGGGGGAATTTGAAAGATGAACTCAAAGAAGCCTCAGGATCTTTTGGGGTTTTATTTAATAGCTTTTTAAATAACTATATTTGAGAACAGATTTTCACAGGAAGAGAAAAACAGCATTCTTGACATAACTAGTACCCTCCTGAAAAAATATTACTGTTTCAAAGTCCAGAGCCTTCAGCACTTTCCTATGGCAAGTTTGCTAAGATGGATGATGTATATCAACTCTCCTAGATGGAGGTTTTCTCAACACCTCTAGGCACACACTCACACTGAAAAATATAAGCCCCCAGTCAGTCTGCCAAAAAATGAGCATATGCAACTGGACTTCATTATAGGAATTGTTAGGCAACAATGAAAGTCCTAATGCCAGCACTGATGGTAAAAAGAGGGGTACAGACAGTGATGGATCCACCATGAAAGGTTAATTGGAGAGAGCAAAAACAGATGCCAAGTATCTGTGTATATTTAATGTATGAGAACAACTGATACCACAGATAAGTAATTGTTGATATTTTCTTACTATGTCTTGATGCCAAAATGACTTTGCCCTCCAGAAGGAATTCTTTGCTCTGGAGGTCCTGAAGAGGTTTGGTTCTGTTCCCAGTGTTAAATTTTCCACTTGGAAAATGCAGACATTTAAGCTGCCAGCATTACAGATGGCTACCTTTCTATGCCCTTGCTTAAAAACCTAACCAAACTCCTTTTAACCAATTTGACACTTAGGTTTACCTTGTTCGAACTCAATAAGCAGTCTGAACTCTGCAATAATCTGATGTCTGCTAGACAGGCTCATTCTGTTCTCCTAAATCTAATCTGTATTGGATCTGCCCACTATTAGAAAACTTCAACCTAGGGACTGCATGTAGATCTCTAATTTACTTCACCAAACATATTTAATCAATTCTACCCGACTATTTTCCTTTTGCTCAATGTTTGATTACTTTTATGTCATCTATTAGATACGAGCCGATGTTTTTTACAATAAGTGGGTTATCTGACAAGGCCAATTTCATGCCTCCCATTAGATAAACTGACATTTCAATCCAATTCTCTGACAAACTTAGATGAGGATACTGTGCAGTTCGAGCACATACAATGACAAGGCACTTGTCTTTTCATCCTTTCTTATCAGAACAAATGCTCAGGTAAATTGAAAACCTCCCCTTCAGGATTTATTTAAATAGAACAATCAATACTTTACTTCACCACCCTCTAAAAGGAATATAAGCTACCATAAACGAGTTTTCAAAAAAATCCCCTTTCTTTCCTCCCCCTGCTTTTTAATACCAGTCTAATTGTTCACTGACAAGCTTTTCCTCATTAACTAGACAATATTCATGTTTATAATTACTTAATAGCAGAACTGACAGCTCTTAAATTGTGACCTTTTCCCCCTCCATACTGCTGAAACCTTGCTATAACATGCTCACTCAGGTAAAAAAGAAAAAAAGAAAAAAAAAAAAGAGAGAACAAGAATACCTGGCAGTTTCTTACATGTCTTTCATTTTCAAGATTTCATTCCTATTCCTTCATGATTGCAGATTTGATTTTCATCACCTGAAACTAGCAGCCCTTCTGTTCTTTTCAAGAGTTCTGGTACCTGGTCTCCAGTGCCACACATCATACCACAACAGCACTACAAAGCTTAAAAATCCTTACACACATAATTGGAATCTACTTAGAGTAAGTTCCTATTTAGTGAAACTTTGTCTACAATGAAGTAGAATGAATGTTGTACAGAGTTCTAACCCACTCTACTGTGCATACCTCTCTACTTAAAAGCAAACATATTTTGAAAAAAGCCCTATTCCAGTGCAGAACTTTTTGCAACCTGAGTTACAGGCTCAGCAACCAGTATGAAACAGAGCATGATAACTCTGAAGAACTGATTCTCTTTAACTTATAAATGCTCTGTTTGACTCTCCTGTCATTCTAGCAATGTAATTCCAAGGAAATTCCTCATAAGTCAGTTTAGTTACACCAGCGTAAATAAGAAGAGAATTAAATTTGTTGTTTGTAACAAAGAGGGGGGAGTAATTACACCACTGTTTTTACAAATATTATTATTAAGCCATCAGCAGTTCCCAAGTATACTAAACATTACATGCAGTGTGGGCATATGTACATTCTTCATGATTTATGGATGGCAATGGATTAAAAAAATACATAGCTGCATGCACTGAAATCAAGCCATTATCTTTGAAGTCTGGTAACTGATATAGCAGAAAACCTGCTAAAAATGAGAAAATACAACTTCTTAACTATATGTGATCAACAAGAAAGCATATTTATTAATTAGCCCCTAATGCTGCTGTTCAGTACAGTCATCTAAGGTTTTACAGCACGTTTAAAATGGGTCTTTTTAGGTCAGAAGGAGTGACCTGCAGGTGGTCTCATAAAAGCTCCAATACAGGCAATGGGGATTACCATAATTACTTTGCCACTCTACAAGTAGTTAATGGGATTACACCCTAAGGCTATCCACTTACTCACAGTGCCCAGTGCAAATTTTCTGAAAGAATCCGGGTAAGCACAAATGCTTTAATGATACGCTTCATAATTTCATCTACTGCGCCTCAAAAGAAGCACTAACAAATTAAAACACCCTGAATCAAAGAGACTGAGAAGAAATTAACTCCTTTGGCTTCCTGTACCTCTCATCACTGACGCAGTACTCCAGAACTCCTCCCTCTGCCTCCTTCAGGCAGTGTTCATTCCTCCTTGTTTTCACTGGTGTTAGCTCTGAAAGATGCTTCATCATTCCTACTGTGGTTATAGTCCATGCTTGCTTTCTTTGCTGACTTTCATATGTATCTATTTTTGGCCACCTACTTTATTTTCTTTTCATGCTTGGACTGAAACAACCTCATTTTTTTCTACCATGCCTTATAATTATATTCTCATCTCACCCACTCTATTTGTTTCTTTTTTCATCTATCCATTCAAATAGCTCTCCTATGTTTTCATTCTACAATTTGTTTTGTCTTGTTATCTTCATACCCTGGCTATTTCCAACATCCTTCTCTTGCTCTGTTTCTCTTCATTTTCTCTACAACACATTCACTAAAACCCTATTCTTTGGAAAATGGTTTGATCTTCATTATGGCTTTCTTGCATCTTCTTCTACTAGTGACAGATGATTCCCAATTCTACTTACATCTAAGTGTTCCCAAAAGTTATTAAAAACACCCCTCCATATACTGAAATATGTGTATTTTATGTGTTCACTTTAATGTAAATCTTGTACAATCTCCACAAAGGAGGCAAGTAGCCATTATTATGTTCATACTTTAAATAAAAGCTTTTAAAGATATACAGGTCTAAAGGGTGGGGTTTTTTTTTTGGAAAATATCTAAAACAGCAATCAACAAGTACCTAGTTAATTAGCCCTGGTTTCTTCCATCACTCTCTTGTTACAGCTGGATAGACTCTCAAGATTTACATAAGCAAAACCTATTTACTGAACCTCTTATCAAGTGTAACAGTCTATGGGCGACATTCTTACTGCATTAGCAGCTGCAAGCCCTGATTCCATACACAGAGCATGCAAATACTGATTTGTATGGTGAAGTACCTTTGACTATCAGCTCTGCATAGTTGGACACACCAACTCCTCCTTCCGTCCGGATCATGCAGCGATAGTTGCCAGCGTCGCGCTTCGTGGCGTTTACCACACTGAAAAGGGCTACAAATCGTCGGGCGTTGAACACTTTTATGTCCTTCAAAGGTGCATCCCGTACATAAATACCCTAGGCAAAGAAATAAAGGTAAAGAATATTATTAGTCATATTAAAAAAAATAAAAAAAATGCTGGCAACCCATTTTACTTCTCTCAAGTTCTCCAGAAGGAGAGGAAAGATAAAAGCAGAAGTCTGTATGTTACTTTTATAGGTGTGACAGTGAGACTTTTCTGCTTTCCCACGTGAGTTAAACCATTCAGCATGAGTGGGCAACCATTAATCTGTAACAGCTACTTTCAGCTCTTTATAGATTATAGATTGAAAGATTTGAGAGCAATGCAACATTTACTTGCTTAGCTTGTTTTACACAAATACTTAAATTCATTTATTTTTAAAAAAACCATGAAGAGCAGCATAGTCAGTCTGCTTTTTCTTCCCTCCCTGCATCTGCTGCTTGGCATATGCATTTTGCAGGGAGACATCAGTGGATGGTTCTCATAGCAGCACCCACCCAAGGGGTTACCAGCAACTCTGGTAAAAGAGACCAGGCACAGATTTACCAGGTAAATGACCTGAAGCTGTCTCCACCTATAACTTTCTCAGCATGACACTGGAAACTGGGAAGTTTCTGTTTCAGCACAGTGTGTTGATGTCAATTCAACACATTACATGTATGGCACAAGAAAATGAGTCCTGTAACAGCTGAGGAGAACAAGGAGTGAAAATACAGAGGGGAAAAGACAGAAGAAGGCCAAGATGACAACTTGCCGTGTCCTTTGACACAAAGATAATGGCAGAGAGACTTGGCCCTCAAATCCTCATCAGAACTCATGCTCCACCTGACCATGAAATAGGATCTGTGCACTATGAACTGTCCAAAACCCGCATAAAATGTGAACTTATGAAAGCAGGATGGGAAAAAAAAAAAATCAAACCAACCACCAAAATCTACTGACATTAACCCAAACAAGCAAACAAGAAAGATGCACTTTTCATACAATGAATATTCCAATATTCCAACAAACTGAAGGCTGCAACCACTACACTATCGAAACATGAAGAGAAACTGGAAAACCCCAACTATCACTTCACAAAAATCACTCTCTCCAGGAAGGCACACACACTGTCTGATGCTATGTAAAATGACACCAGGTATGTTCAGTGGGTTTCTCTGACTTGAGGAGCTTCAAGCAAGGTCAAGGGTCCTGCACTATCTAGCTTCTATAAAACAACAACATATCTGGTGACAGCTGTTTTTCTGCCCTGGAGTTTCTAATTTTCCTGCAGAGTTCAAGACATACAGAAAATATTGATCTCATTTTACTATGATCTTATTTACCACTAAATTGGAAGTATCCTTAAAATACAAGTTATAAGGAAATAGTTTTAAACAACAGTCACACAAAATTAAACTCATCCATAAATCACAAAACCAAGTCAAAGTTAATCATGCTGTTATACCGAAGAAGCAACATAATTAACAATAAATACTAATTCTAATGCACAGTCATGTAGAGTTATTTCCCCTTCAAAAGAAAACATGGGCGAGGTGAAGCTCATGTGAAAGAAAAAGAAGTTTGTACAATGTTCAAAGAAGAACGTGCTATCATGCCTTAAAAATTACTCAGCCATAAATAATTACTTGAGAATTACTTCAGATAATTGACAGCTCCTTAAGATTCCTCAAAATCTGAGCTGCTGATAAAGCAACTTCTGTGACGTGGCATGTTACCAAAACCTAAACTTGGAACGAAACATTTCAAAATTACTGTTTTTACTAGTAATATCTATATAATATACTAATATAATAATATACTAGTAATAACCTTCTAGCAAAAATGTCTGCAGATAACAGGAGATAAGCAGTGGGTTAATTAGGATTTTGGAGAATGAATGTTTTTTAAAAGCCACATTATTTCTTACCTGATACAATAACTTATTTAGCCCTGATAATCAGAACCACTGATCAATCACAAGCCATAAGCCAGTTTTGAAGTATGTTACTGCAGTTTTCAGACTATTGAAGGATCCCATACCAAATCTCGAGGTTATATTACACCCACTCATATTACTATTCCCATTTCTCTAGTTGCAACATCAGGAAGCCTTATATATAATAACTTACCCAGAAATAGGGTAAGTTATTCCCTAGGGAAAAACATACTGCCACACACTGATTAATTCTAGCACCTAAACTAGCTCAGCTCATTTGGAGTGTGAACAAACTCCTCTGCTCCACAGCCTGCCCAGTACACCCTCCCTTCCACATGGGGAATCTGCATCCACAGTTTACCAGGACTCTTATGAGTTACCCATACAACTGAAGAACTGTGTAAATATTTTTAAATGACATTTTCTTGCTGTTCTCATGGAGAAAGAGATGAAGGGAAAGGACTAGGCAACACCACTGTAATTTCTGCCTTAATCTTCAGTTCATGAAGAGGGCAACCATGGGAAGAACTGATGCATATACAGTTCCCTACACAGAGAACTGTCTCCTACCACACTGTCCCCTCAGACCTCCAAGTGGCTGGTAGAAATCCTGAACTTCACAGTCTGGGTGTTCACAGAAACTGCCAGCAGTCCTTGAAGACAACTCCTCCAATACCCAGCCCCACAGGACATATTTCCCATCTTCATGCATATTTAGAATGGAAATTGGAACTAATCAATGCACTGTAGCACTTACAATAAATTACTATTTCACTTGGGTCCCATAATCTTTTTCACCTTCTGCTGATTCTCAAATATACTAATCTCACCTGATTTTGAATGTTTTAACTGCTGTTCTACAATAGGAAATCTTAGTTTGATCAAATGATTGACTTACATGGCTTTGTGACACATGCCATCCATTCACATACCAAAAATTGTAACTGAAAAAAAGAGAAGCCAAATCAGACTTCAGGAGGCGCTCATCATTTTGCTCAAACGATAAAGCTGGAGGAGCCTAAAATGTAACTCAACTTGGCTCCACAGAGGATTTGAGCATATCTGCCCTCTACCAAAATACAGGTGAGAAAATGTTATTAATGGTGGCTTCAGAATTCATGAAAGAGCTTTGGAATAAAAAGCTGTTATCATCATTACTATAACAAAGCTGTAAAATATCTGGGAGATTATTATCAATACAGATTATCTTGACTGACTTCTCTTGAACATTACGAACTCATGGAGGCAAAGTTTAGAGTGTCTAATTATATGTTAGAACTCAAACAGTCCCACAGAATCACTAGCATGACATTTTATACTAGAACTCAAAGGAGAAAAAAGAAGCCAAATTTTTTTCTTTAGTCTCTTTAGGGAGAAATATTTTCAGGGAAAATATAGTGTCTGGAACAGACAAAGACTAAGAAACATAATTGCTTTACGTTCCACAAGAAAAAATACAACCCAAGAGAGCAAGCTTTCCCTCCCTTCTGGGGTGATAGCAAATGAGTAGGAGAGCTTCCTAATTGATTTAAGCCCAAGCATAAAGGAACAGTAATGAAGGTAATGAATTCAAGTATAAGAAAAGTTCAATCTATAGGCATTACAGAAGGCAGTTACAAAGGCTGCACAGAAAAAAATAAATAAAAAAAAAATAATCCCACACCTACAACTTCTCCCAAATTCCTATTTCACCAGTGGACAAATGGCAGAAGACTGTTTTTAGTCTGAAAAAATGCTATTTACAATTTGATAGATGAATACAGAATCATTTCTGTTATAACAATACCCACACATCCAGCTTCACTCTCTTTATTTGTGATTCACGTTTTGTTCTCCCTGACTCACTGCAATGACTTCAATAAGTTACCCAGGTATGCTATCTTTTTTCCCAGTATGTAACAGAACCATTTCAGGTCGCTGTATGATAAATTACAAGCTCTCAGTGCTGACTGCCAACAGCTATTTCATTTAGAATGCCTAAAAATAACACATCAAATGAAAATTTGTTTATTAAACATACTAGCACATCCCACTACAATTTCTTTATGAAGAACTATTTTCATTAGCATTCAGAGAAGTTTTCATCACTCATGAATGCAACAATCTGAGCTCCCACAAGTAAGAGTGTGTTTATGTTAGACTGTTTTACTAGCTATAGCCATTAAAACTTTAATCTCAAGGTTTTTTTTGAGATTCTTAAATTTACCAGTAGGTCTTACAAACTCTCACTTTTTACATGAAAGCTGGAATATTTCCAAATACATTGTATTTTATTGAAAAATAAACAAAAAAATGACACATCCATAATTTATTAATCCCATTCCAGAAAGGAGGATGAAATTCATTATTTACAATATATCACTATGGTACTAGTATTAAGACCTACTAGAACAGGTTGTTGGAGCAAATTTGTAGTATCCTGTTTTCTGGGTGGGGTTTATTGGTTTTGGTTTGTTTGTTTGTTTTGGGTTTTTTCTTTTTCATTTTTTTTTTTCTATTTTGTTTAAATACAATTTTTAAAAAAATATGGTTCTTTTAACTTTCTTTACTTTAGCCCTGATTTGCCACACAAAAGTCTGAGGTTTTATTTCTGATTAGGGCTGTTAGCTTTTCCTGCCCCTGGGACTTGAAGAACTGTGTGAACAGGATCCTTCATTCTTTGGAAAGAGGAAGCTGCCATAATCATTTAATATTAGACCTGCTTGGACCACAAAGGCCACGTCCCCAGGGCAGAGCTATCTCACCTCCTTAGAACACAAGAACTGTGGCCACAGAATAAATTCTGAGATGCAAAAATGAAAATAAGAGATTCCACTGGCTGCTGAGGAACCTGTGCATTTTCAAATGCTCAGAGAAAGCTTTTAAAAAATACATTAAAAACTGCTACTTAAGCCAACTAATGAAAATATGTAACTGGTAAGTCACTTGTGAAAATAAATTTTCTATTAAACAGCAAGTTATTTAATACACATAAAAATAAGCTTAATGCAACTTCAGGATATATGCAGCTTGAAAAACCCATATTCCTAGTACCAACATATTAAATGCATATACAGACAGCTTAAAGCACTTTAAAATGCACATTATTTTTCCATTTTAGGCAAGTTAGAATGAAAAGAAATAGGTTGATAGTTATT